ATAATATAAATACTATTAAGCTTATAACCTATTAAGACTAATAAGGTATATATAAGGTAAAAGGTAAAGTTATTATATTATATATCTTTTATCTAATTATATAGTATAGGTAAGTATTAAATATACTAGGTAATAAGAAATTATTCTTCTAGCTTCTAAGCTACTTATTATTAATAATAGCCTTATTACTATTAATAAGTATTAATAAAGTATATATATATTAGTATAGATTTAGGCTATTTTTAAATAGAATAGGCTTTTAAATATAGAATTAATAGCTTATAGTATAAATAGTATACTTATTATTAGTATTTATAATATATTTTAGTACTATTATTTAGTATAAGTATAGAAAATATATAATATAAAGAAAGTTTAGCTTATTATTAAACTAGTATTCTTTATTATTAAAATTACCCTATAAAGTATAACTATAAACTATTTAATAGCTTTTCTTATACCTCTTTAGGCCTATACTATTATTAGGTAGTAGTAGTAAAAGTAGTATAGTAGTAGTAGCTAATATTATAGGTTATTATTATTATAATTATAAGTTATTATAAGGTTATTTAAGATTTAAGAAAGAGTATTTTAAGAGTATAAAGTTATATAAAGGTTATAAAGTATAAAAAAATAAAGCTAATTAAGAAATAAAGTAAAAGATTTATTTATAAAAAAGAAAGCTAACTAGGCTAAGAAATATACCTTACTTTAAATATAATATATATATAATATATATATAATATACTTTATTTAATAATAATAAGTTAATAATTTACTATTACTAAATAATAACTAATAGTATTAAAATATTAAAATATAATATAATTAATTATAAATAAGGTAAGAATAAAGCTAGTAAATATTAGCTACCTAAATAGCTAGGCCTAAAGTAAGAGTAATTATAATATAGAGGCTACTTAAAAGAATTTTCTAAGTATAAAAGCTATAATAAAAAGTAAATAAACTAAAGTTATTATAAAAATATTCTTTAGTATTATATATATAAATTAAAAAAGTATAAACCTTAAATAATAACTTAATATAAGTATAAAGTATATATTAAATATATACTAGCTTAAGTAAGTAAGGTATAGTAGGCCTATACTAGCCTAGGTAATTATAGCTAATATAACTATAGTACTACTAGGAAGGGGGAGTATATAAAGAAGTTAGGCTTAAGCCTACTCTAGCTAGACTTAGCCTAAGGCTACTATAGGTATACCCCTAGTATACCCCCTTTATATACTATAGTAAATAGATAGATTATCCTTCCTTCTCTCTTACTTTATAAAAGAGTTAATACTATTATAATACCTATTTATAAATACCCTAAGGCTAGTCCTTAATAGTAAGAAGGTAATAAGGTTATAAAGAAAAATAACTAACTAGATTAGTATTAAAATAAAGGTAAATAATAAATAGGTAAGGATTACTTATATTATTAGTAATAATAGTAGTAGTATTAAACTAACTAGATTAGGAATAAGATAGAGTTAGGTATATACTAGGAATAAGGTAACTTATTATAGTAATAGTAATAGTAGTTAAAAAAAATTTTTTTTAAGAAAGTATTAATAATATTATAAATAATAATAATAATTCTTATATACTAATTAGGCTAAATAACCTATCTAGTACCTCTACTAATTATAGGGTAAGGAAAAAATATTAATAATATTAAGATAAGGCTAGAAATAGCCTAGGTATAGCTTAAGGAGGTATATAAGAATAATAAAGAAGAGAGTATATAAGTATAATAATAGTAATAATAAGAAACTAATAAAAAAAAGAGTTAATATAGTTTAATAGTTAAAATAGGAATAGCTTAGCTTAGGTAGGGGTAAGGGTAATAGTAAGAATATAGTATATATATTAAAAGTAAGGAAGATATATAATTATATATTATTAAAAAAAAAGAAAAAAAATTAAGAAATTTAAAGCTTTTTAAATATTATAATAAATAGGCTAGCTAGCTAGGTAATAAATTAAAAATAATAATAATTAAATATATATAGCTATAGTATCTTCCTTACTTAGTATAATAAATATAATAAACTATATAAAGGCTAATATTAATTTAAAGGCTTTAAAAAGGTATAGAAATATAAATAAAATAATAATAAAGTAAGAAATAGGAATAGATATAAAAGTATATAGAAGTAGAAAAGTAGTAAGGCTATTCTAACTAGTTTTAGGTTAAGTAAGGCCTTATAAAGAAAAATGTTCCTACCTATTTAATATAGATAATATAGAAAATAAACTATAAAAGCTAAAAAGAAGAATAATAAAAGTAGGTATTATAGTCTTCTATAGCTATTATTATACCTATTTAAACTTTAAAGTATTTAAGGATTAGGATTTAAAAAGGACCTTAACTATATATAGTACCTAGCCTAGGCTAAGAGGGCTATAAAGAAAGAAGGTTAAGAGGGTTAAATAGGGAATAGGTAGAGTCTATTAGCTTACTAAGTTTTATATATTTATACTTATTATTATTATCTTTTACTAAAATAAGGAGTATACTACTCCTTATTAGGAATTACTTTAGAATTATACTAAACCTATACTAAAGCTAGGGTTTTTCCTCTAGGTACTTTAGTTTTTTCCCTATCTTATAAGCTATAAAGGTATTAGATAGACTAGCTAGTCTAATTAGTATAATATAATAATAATAATAATAATATATTAGTCTTATTAAGATATTATTATAATAGACTAGCCCTAGAAGGGCTTTAGGGGCAACTAGCCTTATAGCTATTAGTAGCCTTATAGTATATAACCCTCTTACCTACTTAACTAAGAAAGGTAAAAGGATTTATAATACTAATACTAACTAATTATTATCTAGTTATACTTATAAGGGTGCTTCTTTAGAGGCTCTATACTAGGCTCTTAAAAGGCGCTAGGCTAGAGCCTAGCCTATAATATATATAGTGTATTAGTAATAGTTTACTATAAGGGAAAAAGATAGTCTAGAAATTACTACTTTTAAAAGTTTAGTATAATAGTATATAAAGTAGTCTTAATTATATTTATATTAGCTAGTAATAATTAGTAATTATATTAAGATAATAAATAAGAGTAGTATATAGTACTTACTTCAAGAAATATAGAAAAAGTACTTATTATATATTAGGATACTATAGCTAGTTAAGGCTACCTTATATATTATAACTTAGGTAGCTAGTCTTAAAGTAGTTACTTATAATAACCTGGTAGACTATAAGTATTATTATAAAGTATATACTATAGGTAGCAGTTAGGGAGGTATCTATATTATCTAGGGGCCTAATTTTATCTAGTTAAGAAAGTATAAGTATAAAGTCTTAACTGCTAATATAGCTAGGATATAGTATATAAATATATAAGCATATATAAGGTAGAAGTGCCTATGCAAACTTAATCTCCTAGAGCTATATTAGGCAATTCTTTAGTGTTTATATTGGGATAGATAATTACGCGCTAGGTTAGCCCCGCTATGTTAAATCTATCTGCTTAGTTATTCGGTCGTGCTAGCTAAATTTACGTGGCAGTTGCTATTATACTATAAGGTTTCTCTAATAACTCCTATATTAGCTTATTTAATCTTATTCTATTTAATATAGTTAGTATTATAGTCTATTAATACTATTAATTGCTTAGTAATAGTTTTTATTAAGTAGCTAATAGTTTATTCTCTACTAAATAAACTATATAGCCTTATTATAGTTAAGTATAGTACTTAGATATATTACTAAGCTCTAATTAGTTAGGACCCTTTAGAGCTATAATTAGTTATATATTTTTTATAATACTTTAAGAGATAAAGTAGTATAACTAATAGGTTTTCTTAAAGTTTAAATAAACTAATATAATAAATATTATATATAAAAATAAAATAAGAATAGATTTTAATAACTTATCTTATTAATAGCTTATTCAAGTAATATAATTAAGTTATAATAATTATCTTTTTATAGTTTTTTTAATAGTTTAACTTTATTATTTTAAATCTTTAGTTATATGTATTTTTTAAGTAATTACTACGTTTATAATAAAGTGTGCGTGTGTTGATATTCTCTATTAGGCTTGCCCTGTAGGGCCTACCTATCGGTGGCTAGAGTGCCACAAGGTGGCTGGTGGCTAGAGTGCCACAAGGTGGCTGGTGGCTAGAGTGCCACAAGGTGGCTGGTGGCTGGTGGCAACAGAGTGGGTAGAGGGGGGACTGTGAACAAGGGTCCAGCGTGGGGGAGGTTAAACTAGTGAGCATGGGCAAGCGATGAATAGCGTGTAACTATACTTGTGTATTTTTATTTTTTTGGGTTTGCATGATGCAGAAATGGGGTTCTAATGTAACTTTGCCTTTCCGTCAGAGACTGCAGCGCAGTCGCAATAACTTATGCCTCGCCAAGTCTTGCCTTCCGCCACCACATCATGTCGTCCTCGTCCTCTGATATGCAGCATCCAGCAAGGCTCCAAACCAACCCCAATAAGCACGACATTTATTACTTCTTACATCTCGCCCATCCCTCTGATTTGCTGGCGCCGTCTGCTGTTCCCCAACCATTGCAGCAACCCCCACATTTCGCGTCGCTACAGCATCCACACCGACCACCCTGTCCATGCCACCAGCCCGCACGAGTTTTGTTCCTCTCAACTTTTTTTTATATCATTCATCATTTCTTCTACATTCGCTGTGTGCTGGACCAAATGGCCATGGTTGTGATTTCTTTTGCTCTCCTTGCTTGAATTTCCCCTCGTTGCTGCGCTTGCTTGATTCGAATCCTGCCCGCCTCCGTCTCCGGCTCCGGCACCCGAAGCCCGCATCCAGCCACATCCCCGGTCATCGGCAATAACATCGTCTCACGCATTGTCCGTCCGCCACCGCTCAAATCTCACTCGTGTTCCTGTCCCAGCCGTGTTTCTATGCGACGGCCAGCATTGCTAATTCCAGGCGTCGCCTAAACACCCCTCCCTCGCATCCCATCGTGGCCAACACATACCAGCCACCCAACACGATGAGTTTCGCCGCCTTTGTCGCGCTCCTCCAGCGCCCGCAATTCGACAGCATCTTCCACCGCGCCGCCGCCGCCGCCTCGGACCCGCGCTTCCCCCCTTTCCTGCGCTGGTCCGCCTCGTCCGGGCCGCACTTCACCACGGCGCACGGGGAGCGGTGTCCGGCCCCCGCCGAGGCCGTCATCCTCTACGTCGTCGCCGGCCTCACGCTCAGCCTCGCCGCCGGGTACCTTGTCCGCGCGCGGCTCGTGCGCGAGCTGCTCCCGTCCTGGCTGCGCCCGTTTGCCGCCGAGCCCGGCCCCGCCGCCGCCGACGACGACCTCGACCCGTTCCAGCCCAAGCGGTGGACGCACTGGACGCTGCTGCTCTGCCTGCTCGCGCTGTTTGGCTTCTTCCTGGCGCTCGTGCCCGTGATCCTGGAGCCGGCGCGGACGCTCAACCTGTTCGAGACGGTGCCGTGGGCGGCCGTCGTCGTCGTCACCGTCGCGGACCGGCCCACGAGCACGCCGCGCGTGCTGCTCGCGCAGTACGCCCTCGTGCTCGCCGCCAGCGCCGCCGTCTACTCGCTGCACTTCCTCGACCACGACCTGCTCTACGTCGAGCCCACGCAGCTCGTCCGCGTGTGCCTCGCCGCGCTCGCGCTCGGCTGCATCGTCGCCATGCCCCTCCGCGACCCGGCCTGGGACGTGGCCAACATCGGCTCCGCCAAGCGCCCGCCCTCGTCGCTCCTCCGCAGCCCCGAGGACAACCTCAGCCTGCTGCGCTTCTGGACCATGAGCTGGGTCGGCCCGCTGGCCGCGCTCTGCCGCACACGCGAAATCACCGTCGACGACGTCTGGCAGCTGCCGTACGACTTCCAGCACACCCGCCTCTACATGGCCTTTCGCGAGGTCAAGGGCCGCCTGCTCTCGTGCCTCATCGAGGCCAACGGGCTGGACCTTGCCATCTCCACCTCGCTCGCCATCGTCGAAAAGGTCCTCGAGGTGTCCACCATTCGCCTCACCAGCAAGCTCTATCGCGCGCTCGACAAGGGCGACCCGAAAGTGGCTGTGTACTGGTCCCTCGTCATGCTCGGCCTCGACGCCATCCGCCAGGTCGCCAAGACGACAGCCAACTGGTACTCCCGCAAGGCTTATGAGCGCTCTCGCGGCGAGACCTTTATCGGCCTCTTTGGCAAGCTCCTCACCCGTGCCGTGCCCGGCTCCGACACGACCGAAAAGGGGCCCCAGGACGCAACCCGGCCCTCCTCCTCCTCCTCCTCCTTCTCCGAACCGCAAACCACCATGCAACGCTTCATCTCGCGCATCTGCGGCCGCAACAAGAAGAAAGCCGCCGCCGCCGCCGCCCCGTCGCCGCCACAGCCGGCCTCCAACGCCAAGGTCGTCAACCTCGTGCGCGGCGACACGTACGAAATCTCGCAGCGCTTCTGGGACTTTCAAAAGCTCGTGTCGCAGCCCATCAAGATCCTCTTCACCATGTACTACCTCGTCGACGTCATGGGCTGGCCGTCGACGGTCGGCTTCGCGCTCATGGCGCTGTTCCTGACGGGCAACACGCTCCTCGTCCGGCAGCTCCTGGCGCTCGAGCGGCAGCGCACCGCGCACTCGGACAAGCGCGCGCAGGCCGTGTCGCACTTTGTCGAGGCCAGCCGGCCGCTCAAGCTCAACGGGTGGACCAAGTCGTGGAGCGACCGCATCATGACCTTTCGCGCCCGCGAAATGGCCAAGCGCCTGCAGATGGCCCTTGTCACGGCCGCCATCGCCACGCTCAACGTCGCCGGCGGCACCTCGTACCCGCTCGCCAGCATCGCCCTCTTCACCCTCGCCCTCGGCCGCGGGCTCCCCAACGACGTCATCTGGCCCTCGCTGCAGCTCTTTGCCCAGCTCGAGGCCAGCGTCAAGGAGGCCTTTGACCTCATCGCTGCCTTCTGGAAGACGACCATTCCCGTCGAGCGCGTCCACGCCTACATGGACGAGCCGGACCGCGATATCGCCGCTGCCGTCACCCCCGGCGCCACCACCATCGCCTTTGAGCACGCCTCCTTTGCCTGGCCCTCGACCGACCTGCCCGTCCTGCGCGACCTGCACTTCACCATCCACCCGGGCCTCACCATCATCCGCGGCAAGGTCGGCGCCGGCAAATCCAGCCTGCTCCTCGCCGCGCTCAGCGAGATGGAGCGCCGCGCCGGCCGCCTCACCCGCCCGGACGAGCCCATCGGCTACGCGCAGCAGCTGCCCTGGCTGCAGAACAAGACGATTCGCGAAAACATTGTCTTCCAGCACCCCTTTGACGCCCACCGCTACCGCCAGGTGCTCCACGCCTGCGCGCTCGCGCCCGACCTCGCCGCCTTCCCCGCCGGCGACATGACCAAGCTCGAAGAGGGCGGAGTCGGGCTCTCAGGCGGCCAAAAGGCGCGCGTTGCCCTCGCCCGCGCCGTGTACGCCCCGTGCCGCGTACTCCTCCTCGACGACCCCCTCGCGGCGCTCGACCACGACACCGCCACGGCCATTGTCCGGCGCTTCCTCCAGGGGCCGCTCGCCAAGGACCGCATGATTGTCCTGGTGACGCACCGCGACGACCTCGTCCTGCGCATCGCCGACACCGTCATCGACGTCGACCACGGCACCGCGCGCGTCCTCTCCGCAGCCGAAATCACCGAGGAGCTGGCCCATCCGTACCACGCCCCATCCGACGACGCGGCCCACGACGACGCGGACCATTCCGCCGCCGCCGCCGCCGCCCACGAGGAGCTCCTCGCCCACGGCAGCGTCGACCCCGAAGACCCTTCCGCAACAGGCAGCGTCTCGTGGACCGTGTACCTCAAGTACATGCAGGCCGGCGGCTGGCCCCTCTGGGTGCTGCTGGCCGCGGCGTACGGCGTGTCCCGGTTCTGCGACATTTCGCGCGCGCGGCTCCTCGAGGAATGGGGCAAGGACACGGCCCGCACGCTGGCTGGCGGCGCGCACTCTGCGCACCGGTCCCACGGCTACTGGGGCCTGCCCGACGCCGACGCGCACCCCGGCGCGTGGCTCTACGCGCTCGGCTACCTCTCGGCCGGGCAGATCCTCAGCTACGGCGGCGCGCAGCTGCTCCTCGCGCACATCAGCGTCAACGCGGCGCAGGGCCTGTTCCGCGCCGCCATCGACAAGGTCAGCCGGGCGACGTTTCGGTACCACGACACGACGCCGACGGGGCAGCTCAAGAACCGGCTCATCGCCGACATGTCCATGGTGGACGGCGGCATCCTGCAGCCGCTCGAGTCGTTTGTCTTCCAGCTCATCTCGCTCGCCATGGCGCTCGTCGCCGTGGCCACGCACCAGCCGGTGCTCCTCGGCGTGCTCGGCGGCGTGTCGCTCCTCTTTGTGTACTTCTTCCGGCTGTACGTGCCCGTGTCGCGCTCGCTGCGGCGGCTCGAGATGCGCTACCTGACGCCCATCATCGCCAACATTGGCGTGATGCAGGACGGCCTCGTGACGGTGCGCGCCATGCGCGGCGAGGCGCGCTTCCAGCGGCGCCACCTCGAGGCCGTCGACGACTTCCAGAAGCAGGACCACTTCTTCTGGAGCATGGCCTTTTGGCTCGACTTCCGGCTGTCCATGACGTCGGCGGCGATGCGCGCCGCGCTCGTCGCCGTCATGGTCGCGCTCGGCACCGCCGCCGCCGCCGTCGGCTTCGTGCTCACCCAGACCACCATTGCCATGGCCGCCGTGCAGCAGCTGTGCGAGCGCTTCGCCCAGCTGCAGCTCGACGCCGTGAGCCTCGAGCGCGTGCACATGCTCAACGCGATCCCGGCCGAGCCCGAGGGCGGCGCGCAGCCGCCGCACGACTGGCCCGCGCCGGGCGACGCCGTCGTCTTCACCGACATGTCCTTCCGGTACGACGACGGCCTGCCGGCGGTGCTCGACCGCATCACGCTGCGCATCCCGGGCGGGTCGACGTGCGCGGTGCTCGGGCGCACCGGCTCCGGCAAGTCGACCATTGCCAACGCGCTGCTCGCGACGCAGGCGGCGTCGCACGGCACGCTGACGATTGGCGGCGTCGACGTGGCCACGGTCGACCGCACCGTGCTCCGCCAGCGCGTCACGTTTATCCAGCAGGACCCGACGCTGTTCCCCGGCACGCTGCGGGACAACCTGGACCCCCGAGGGGCGGTTCTCGGACGCGGCGTGCGCGGCCGCCATCCACCGCGTGCTCGGCCCCGCGTGGGCGCTCGACGCCGCCGTCGACGCCGGCGGCAAGAACCTCTCGCAGGGTCAGCGCCAGCTCGTGGGCATCGGGCGCGCCGTGCTGCGCCGCTCGGGGCTCGTCATCCTGGACGAGGCCACGGCGAGCATTGATCGGGCTACGGCGGCGGTCGTGCAGCGCGTGCTCAGGGAGGAGCTCGCCAGCAGCACGGTCATTACGATTGCACATAGATTGGAGGCCGTCGAGGATGCAAACTGGTGCGTGCGGCTCGAGAGGGGCCGCGTGCTCGAGTGCGGCCCGGCTAGAGACCTGGCGACAAGCGGGAAGTAAAGTGCAGACGAGAATGGCATGCAGAGTGAAAATGTATATATGAGGGAAGTCGTTTGGAAATTCTGCAAGACTGCCAGCGACAGGCTGCAATTGGATAGATGAACGAGTAATGATTGCTATACAGGCTACCGTTGGATAGATGAGCGAGTGCTAGCGACACACCCCAATTGAAGAGAGGAACAAGTAATAATTACCTCGCCTGTTGTGTTTGGTGTGAATATAGACTCGTATCCAGTAACTTGTGTGCGTAGTTCGTGCTAGTCGAGAGCTGTGAATTAACACAGCGACAGTTACAGACGCCCGTCAACTTGCGGCTATTTCTACAATACCAACAGTACTTACATGAAATTTCAGTTCGATATGCTACTCTATGCAGTCTACAGATGTAATTCGATATGCTACTCTATGCCGTCTATAGGGTATAAATCATGACCTCATGCTGGGGATCTTCCGTGTACGCCCAACCCCCCAACGCCAGCCTACCCAAAGAGCGTGTCCAAAATGCGTTCGAAACGTGACCTATACGTCATTAGCAAAAAAAAAATCAAGACGGGACGCTGCACTTACTCTGCCTTTTTGGGCACATAGTTGGCCTCGTGCTCCTCCACCTCGGCCAAATCCTTAATCAGATCCACCTCCTCAGGCTTGTGGATCTCCGTCTTCATCACCACCTTGTAGCCGACGTACAGGGCCGGAAACACAAAGATCATCATGTACGAGAACAAAAAGTCGGGCGTGTCCCAGCGGCCGGGTAGAAACACGGGGTAGCCGCCAACAAAGGCCATCAGGACCGTCCAGAAGAGCGCATAGTAGGCGGCGTAGGGCATGAACCAGGCACGGTACGGCAGCGTGGCGGGGTCGACACCCTGCGCGTGCATGGCACGGCGAAAGCACAGATACGAGACGCAGACCCCGCCGAAATTGATGAGTTGCGAGGCCGTAACCAGCGAGACAAACCAGTTGAGGACGACCGACGCGCCCGAGCCCAGCTGCAGAAACGACAGCAGCGCAAAAGCGAGGACGGCGGCAACGCAGTAGATGGGGACGCCCGTCTTGGTGCAGGTGGCGAGGATACGCGGGGCCTTGCCGTCGAGAGCCAGTCCGTAGAGCGAGCGCGAGGCGCAGTAGACGTACGAGTTGCCAGCCGAAAACGCAGCTGTCAGAACAGTCGCATTGACAATGTGGGGAAGGATGGGGATGGCGAGGCGCTTCATGGCGACAACATATGGCGAGGCAGCAGCTCCCGGTGAGCCGTTGGCATAGGCGTCGATGAGATTCTTGTCATTGTAGGGAACGAGGATACCGACGCAGAGTGAACCGAGGATGAAAAAGGCTGTGAGTCGGTAAAAAACGGCGTTAAAGGCGCGGGGCATGACTTTGCGGGGATTCTCAGCTTCGCCAGCGGCCATGGAAACGTAGTCGGGACCAGCAATGGTAAAGGCAGCCTGGATCAAACACTGCAAAAAGCCAACCCATCGACCAAGGCTGCCAGTATAACCGTACAGCTCAGCAAAGGATCCAGGGTTGGACCAGTAGCGGAAGCCGAAGCGATCGTGCTGGGGGTTGCCGCCGACCATGACGATAAAAGTGAAGAGCACGAGGCCGACTATAAGTAGGACTTTGCCGAGTGCAGCCCAAAATTCGGTTTCACCATACCACTTGACGGCAATGACGTTGATGGCGGCGTAGAGGACAATGATAATGGCAATCATGGCGCCGGTGGGCACTGCTTTTGTCCAGAAATTGATGATGAGATTGCAGGCCGTCACCTCAAAGGGCACGAGGGCGGCTTGGAAGACGAAAAAATTCCAGCCAATGGCGAATCCGAATGCTTCATCAACATAGCGACCGGCGAATCGAATAAAGGGCGACGAGATGGGCAAGTAGGTGACCATTTCGGCCATGCAGAGTGTGACAGCGAGCACAACGGTGCACCAAAAGCTAAAGGCGATGAAAAGGCTACCGGGGCCGCCATGGAGAAGGCCCTGACCGATTTGAACCTGCGCAATACAATCAGTGAGTGGTGGCAAAGCAAGCGAGGCGGGGATCAAGGACACACATAGAGAACGGTTCCGATACTGCCACCGATGCCAATCAGCTGAATGTGTCGCGACTTGAGCAGACGGTGGGTCTGGTCGACCTTGCCGCTGTCAAAGGACAGGCGGGCGGGATCGGGGTCGGCGAGTGGTTTGGACTCGGCGGCAGCGACCTTTTCGGCGCGGGTGATTTTTTCGGAATCGTAGGTGTAATCGGGTGGGCTGGGGGCGTCTGAGCCCATGGTGGCGGTTGGGGGCAAAATGAGGCTGTACGAAAGCAATTGGGCTTGCCCGGTTGTCACGAGACAATTGGCCGATGGTGGATGAATAGCCGAGGACAATGGCGAGTTTGGCGGTTGTAGAAATCGGTCGTCGTCGTCTTATTGCATGTTGGGGAACGTGGTGCGAGTATTGTGACAAGGACGTGTATTGGCGAAAGTGGCAAGTTGGCGACAAAAGAAGAAAATCTTGGCGCGGTCGGTCGGAGCGACATGTGCGTCGTATTTGAAGCAACAGCCACGCTATTGGCAATGGGATAGTGTCTGACGAGCAGCGGGTCTGGTGGTCTGGTGGTCGAGCAGAGTCTATCCGGTAGCATATCTGGGCAGCCAATAGACGGCGGCGTGCGCGAGCCTAGCATCGTGCCCTAGACCCGTAGCGGCGGCGCAGGCGAGGCTAGGAAGGCCGGGAGCGTACGGCAGCCTATAGGTGAGTTGTCGCTAAATCCCAATTCACACCTAGTATACGGTTAGATACGAAATAATACATACGTAAGTAGGCTATTATATTTTTTTAGATATATATTATCTTTATAATAAATATAGGTTATTCTTATATCTAAATATAGCTACCCTACTTAGTATATTTTAGTTTTACTTTATATAATATATTATATAAACCTTTCTTTTTTCTC